TGAAGTTGATACGATAGCAAGCACGAAAAGAGGTTTTACAGCAGCAAGTTCCAGCAGAACATAACTTCCATCACATTTGTCAATTCTATAAACTTCAAGCACACAGCTTAGTGCCAAGGAAGTTTGACTACAAACCCATTTTTCTGGGCAATAAGACCACCTTGTTCCCCAGGTTTCTACCACTGGTTTCCACCCACTGGTTTCCACCACTACATTTTTGACTGAAACACTGAAGTGTTTAACTCCCGGTCCAAACTGGAATTAAACCTGATTTTAAGTAATGTCTGAACCCTCCAAGAAAGTGTTTCTGCACTGACTCCGGAAAGATTTCTTTCCTACCCATACGTATTTTCACCTGCTTGCCAATTAATGAGAAAAGTCAACCCTAAAGCTTTACTAAATTTACTACTCCCTGCGTCAGTGAAATCTTAAAGCAGCATTTAGTGGTTTGACAGAAAAGTGACCTTTACCTCATGGAGACAGGGTATTTTTGGATGAGGCAAAGCATTTTCACCCAGGTTCAGTGACTGGCACAAACTGCAAGCTGCAGACACTTTTCTGCCTTGGTTGTTTCTTGGCTGAGCTACAAAAAATAAAATCAGACACAAAGCCCTGAGGACTTACAGAGAATTTTCTCAGTAGGATGATCTACCACAAAACTGAGTTCCTGGTCTGTGATTTTCTTCTCTGCAGCAAGGAGTGCAGTGAGCTCCTGTGTTCCCCTGGAACAGAGGACAGCTCCACAGAAAGGGCCAAGAATGGAACAAGATGATACCCAACAACATGAAACACTATTGCACAGAAAAGCCTCTGCCTTGGACAGTAAAGCTCTGTCAGCTCCTACCACTGTTATAGGTTGTACCTTGTCAACTGGGCACAGGAGCTACACGAGTCTGGGTTAAAAATGAAAGGAAAAGGGGAGTAATGTAAGTAAGGAAGAAAAGAAGGAATTCTGCTGTACCCTGTGAGAGCTGGTGTTTGCCATCAGCACAGGGGGCTGAATAGAAGATGCCTTCACCTGGGTTTGCAGCTGACCAAAAGGGCAAAGGGGAATGAAGGCATCCCACGGGAGGTATCCTGGTTATTGGCAGACAGGAGGAAAGGCACTTTGGAGGAGAGGAAGGTGACACGTCTGTGACATTTCAGATGAGAATTGCACTCTTTGCCAGCTTCTCTGGAGGATCTGATGACCTTTTCACAACCACAAGTGTTCATCATAACAATGAAGCAGAAGCTGTTCCCCACCACCATAAAGCATTTGAATCTAATTTTACTCTTTCATGAAAAAAAGAGTAATATCTGCTCACAACTGTGCTATATTGTTGTCCAAGTGTGTGGTAAAGCTAATAACCACATTAGAGAAAGCTCTCCTGTTGTTACAAGCCAGATCCAAATATTTCTAGGGCAGTTCTCCATCATTTAAGATGCAGACACAATCAAATTTATAAAGGCAAAACCTCCTATACATTGTCCCAAAGCAAACAGCCTCAGAGCTGTTTCCTGTTACCAAAAGAAAGGACTATAAAAGTGAAGGAACTCCTGATCTTAGGCTGCTATTTCCACCTCACATGACCTTAATTTTATGGAAACTGTACCCTTGTGTTATTTAGATTTTACTCATAAAACATAGACAGAGGCAGTGTATAGGCATTGGGGAACAATCAAGAAAAATGCAAAAGTTCTTTGAACAGTAAAGAAAAAAGTTGTTAAAATGATTAATTTTTATAAATGATGTCAGGAAAAGCCATTTGCTGTAGTAGAGATAAGGTCCTTTTTCTTTCTTTTACTTTTTCCCTTAAAAAGAAAAAGAAAAAATGAAAAAAGATAAGTTCTTGGAGCACTGGGATGCTGCAGCAGACAAAGTTTTACGTCTCTTATGTACTTGCCCAGCAATTACAACCTAGAAAAGACATCAAACACTGAGGATTGTTTTATAAAGGAGGGATATATATCCACCTATTAATTATAACCCTACTCTAAATTTTGCAGTACTTCTCTCTGCATCCTACTTTGAAGGAAGCTTTAAACCACTGCAGAGTGCCAAGGAGTTTGATAAATATTCCATTACTACCTTTAGGTCTTCCAAATAGTAAGCATTCAAGTTGAGTTGGTAAGCATTCAAGTTGAGTTCAACCTAATCTCCTAAAAAAGCATTTTCAGCATTTGCAAAGTGAAGGTGGACATTGAAGAGCAATCAAATACACATGAGAGGATTATTCAGATGAGACGTCCTACCACAGGAGAAAAATAGTAATGGTCATAGAAATAAATATTAAAAAAAATTATATTAGCAGTTCACAGTTTAATCAAAGTGTCGAGGTGACATTAATTGGCTCTGTAGAGATCTCACTACACACATCAGGCAATTTAGGGCATTGGTACAGGGTTCTGAGTCTTTAGCATTAAATACCTTTGAAGGCACAAAGCCAAAAGGATTTTGGGGGTTGATGGATGGAGTTGTCTGTGTCCTCCCATTCAGCACAGACACTTCTGTTGGGAAGTCAGGAAACGATGCCTCCTGAAGTCCCCAGTTCGGAGCAAGGTCCCTTCCAAGCATTCTTCCTAAGGAAATCCCCTCACCTTCAGCTAAGGGTGATTTTTCAGCTGTTCTTTTACTTACAGCATTAGTCAAAGGCTATGGGAAATCGTACATCTTTGTGGCTTTTATTAACTTGTTTCCTTTACAGCAATGTGCTGCAAAACCAGCAGAGAGACTCTTTCTAAACTCCAGTGTTACTGTGGCGCTTTCAGCAACCCCATGGTCCTTTTCAGTGCTCAATAGCCACTATATCTCAGTATATAACCACAGACCTCCAGATCTAAATATTAAAGACATTGATACAAAAATTGCCTTTAAATGGAGCCTTCTGTGGTTTTGGGGTTTGGTTTGTTGTAGCCTGTAGAAGCTCTCAGGAGAACTCTGAAAATAAGAATGGAAATCCAGAGCTGAAAGAGGGTGCAAAGGAAGTGCTCAGGGGATAGACCTGGGTTACCTGCATACCTCTGCAGAGATGAGCAGGCAGGACCAAAGCCTACTTCAAATTGCAGCCTCCATGTCCTGTGTGCACACCCACAGATTTGGGGATTCACAAAAACTCCAGCATGATGGAGAGCTGCAGCAGTCACTTCAGACAAAAGAAAGTGCCAGATGATGGATTCAGGAGACTGCAGCTTAAAGCACCAGGGCTAAACCAACAGCAACAGAGAGACCAGGGCAGTCAGATGTGTAATGAAAGACGAAAATTGAAAGCAACCTTCCATGGCCAAAATAAACAGTTTTAAAGCAATTAAATTTTGAATCCATAATGAATATACACAGACAAACACACACACACACACAAGAAGAGCTTGAACCAAGCTGTGCTTCTTGCTGAACCAGTCTTAATATTCATTGCTGGAAGCACAAACTAGTATGGTTTGAGTGGGGTTTTTTTTTGGTTCTTTATGTACAGAACTTGATACACAACTGCTTTTCAGTTAGAGGTTGGTTTTGATCAACTAAACTTCTAAGCTGCTCACTTGTTACTGGAATTACCATTAATCCCCAATTTCATAAACCAAACCAGCAGCAACACTGCTTGCTTACCCTCCAACTCCCCCAAACCTTTCTCTGTTTTAAGCTACAACCTACGCAATGGAACAGGGTTCTATTTTAGCAATAATACAGTTTTATAGTTGGAATCCCCTTCAGTTTGAAGCAAACAGCAGCAGTGACTCATCACAAGGCATTGAAAGAAAGGGGATTTCCTCCTGAAGTAAAGCACCAATGAACATCACAGCAAACAAAAATCAGCTAAGATGACAGCAAAGAGGGAGCCCAAGGATTCACCAGGGAGGTGATATGATTACAGAAAAAAGAGCCATGGCTCTTATTTCAGCAAGAGGCTCATGATCCAAAATGGATTTTTTATTCTAAAACTGAAACTAGACGAGAGGCCGAAATGTGAGGCTTGGCTCTGAAACCCAGCTGAGCCAAGGCAGGGCTGCTTTCATCAGCCAGCAGTGGGTTTGCAGTTTGCAATTCATTCTAGATTCTGGCAGGGACAGAACCATCATACACACTGCCTACAGTATTGCCCCTGCCACAGAACCAGGCTTTGGTTTAACTGTTGCACAAGACAGTAGAGAAATGTGTTATCAAGCAGCAAGCCCCTCCCCAATTCCTGGGCTCCCTCCATTAGTCAGTGCAAAGCCCTCTACTGTTTTCAGTAAATCTGAAGATCATTCTTGCAATTACTGTTTCTAGTAAGGACAAACTCCCCCGCAGAGTGAAAGCAGGAGGGTGGTTACACACTCCGTGGGTTGTTTCATACGTAGGTTGTACATAGGAAGGGGACGCCTCCTGCCTCGAGTACAAATGCCAGCAACTGGGATTTTTAGTAACTGGGATTTTTAGTAACTGGGATTGTCCAGTGCATGAGGGTCTCACAGAACACTGGCACACTGGTAAGTCTGCAGTGGCATCGTGTTACTGAGGGGAAGCTCAGCAGGCAGAGCCTAAAGCTGGGGTGGTTGTGCCACTGAACCACAGTGCTGCCTCAAAGTCACACCATCAGTCCGCTTCCACCCAGGGGCCATATAAAAACTGCACAGCTGGATGGTCCTGCAGTCCCCCAACAAAAGGTGGTACTGCTGACTGAGGAGAGCAGCTTTAGGTATCATCTCTGTACTGGGTTTGGCTACAGAAGTTCTACTTCTTTGCTACAGAGAGATGGGAACAGGAGGCAACACCAGCACCTGCCTCTGCCCGTGTTATCAGCATGAAAACAAAACACCACAAAACTGAGCAGCAAGTCAAATATGTCACCTCCAAATGCCAGGTATAGAAAGCAAGAGGTAAGCAGGCAGTATCCATATGCATTAATTAAAAAGAAAGCATATGAGGGGTATCAAACAGCTTCGTTTCTCCACAGAGGCTGCTGGAGGAGAACTGGCCAACACTTCATCACTCTGTTTGTGTAATCTTAGTGACTTTGTAAATTAGAAGAGGTCAAACTCACCTCTTTGTAAAACTGTTATTCTTTCATATTGGAAGGTTTTTTAATAGAACAGGTCCTCTGGATTAACTTCTAGATTCAGGGATTAGAGACCCCTTTTTACTTTTCCCAGGCTCAGGTGGCCCAGCGCTTGCATCTAGACAAGAGACATGGAAACAAGGAAAACTATCAATGGAATCAGGGACATCAGTTAAAGGATGGGGAAATATTAAGTTCTCCAAATACCCGGTTTTGAACAGAAAAAAAATAAAATTGTTTGAGCTTTTTTTCCCTTCCAGTTTTTCCTCAGAACAGCAAAACTTTACCAAGCAGGACAATGACCCATGTACTGAGTTTATCTAAATTGTGGCAGCTGCAACTGATCCACAACATTCCCATTTCTGAATGTTTCCCTCTAAGGTGAATCAACATATTTATTTTTAAAAGTTAAATTTTATTTCTAGATAATACCATATGTATATCCACACACAGGGTGAAGTGTGTAACACCTCAATGGATAAAGGAAGAACAATTTCAACAATGAGAAAGTATATCTCTATAGCTTATTTTTAACTTCAGGCAAGTGCAGACATTTAAGTGTATCCTATGTGGAGCATTTGGCAACTTTTTTGCCCAACAATCCTATTTCTTCCTCAAAAAAAAGTTATAGACGATTCTATGAAACTTCCCACAAGGTGTCACTAGAGATGCACCAGCCAAAACACTCCTCAAACACCCTCCCCTACAGATGCTTCCCCTTCCTACGAAGCATGTTGAAAACACGAACGGAATGAGTTAATGCCTGAGCAGGAGCATCCTAGTGCAGCGCTGGCCTTTGAGTGTGCTAAGCAGTAATTTGAACGGTAAATGAACCGAGTACACCCAGATCAGTGGGAAATGCAAACGACTTTAGGCATCAACATTTAATGGACTAGCTCGAAAAACTGGTAATGGGTTTTACAAAGTAGATGTGCTGCCCCCCTTTTCAGACTACTAATACAGAAAAAGGAACAAAATCAACCATCAGCTCTGCCTCAGCTCCATGCTAATACCAGGAAGGATGTTCTGTCTCATTTTGGTTTGACTATTCACAGTTTTATACCCACCTTTCACACCCGTCCCTAAGAGACACACGGATGTTTTGCAAATATCTGTTATCAGATATAATGGTGTGGTTATTGCTTAAGGCCCTTTCTATTGAACACAGCATGAATTCAAAACTACTATCTTGGATTAAACAAAATACCTCACAAACTACCTCACATATTTCCCTTTCTTGAAAAAAATAATGTATAACTTAAAGGTTAATTAACATTTGAAAACCATGCTTAACACAGAAATCACATTCAAGTGACTAATCTCTCATATTCTCTGAAAACTCAGTGTGATTCACAGCCTTAGAAGATGACATATTTACTCCCAGGTGAGCAGTGCAGAGGCACATCACTGCCCCAGCGCTCACCTGCTCCAAAAACTCAGGTGCACCAGGTGTAATGACTGCCTTTGGCTGTTGCCCTGCAGCCAGTGCTGCAGAAATGAGTCAACTCACTCCTATGCTACACGGCAGCTTCCAAAGAATTCCCTGCGCGACGCCAGCAGCCGAGTCCTTCCTGTGATCTGCAGGACTGACCTAAATTGATGCACTTTTAGCTGTTGGGCACTGGCCCTTATTTGACAGAACCCCTTGAATAACCCTTTCCCCTTTATTTCATCATAAGGCTTTCTGTATTTTATGCAGAGGGAATTTCTCAACAGCTCACGTGTCAGACGTGAGTGAACCAGACACCAACAACTGCAGCACAGCCTCCAGGAACAAAAGTTCCAGGAGCATTTGGCATCTCTAAAAGGTATTAAAACCCAGGAAGGAATAAGATGGGTACTGCAAAAGCAGCAGAAGCAAAAAAGCATTGCCCATAACCACTGGAACAAGCAACTGTGACAAACTGAAGTATCGCTGCTTTCCAAGAACATCTGACCCAAATCCATAGCAAAACAAACTGGTGAAACTAAAACTTCCCTTACTGCTGGCTGTGTTTTGGATCCTCTTCACAGCTGCTGAATGGATTACTTAGATAATGGGTTAATTAATTCAGTTAATTGAAAAAATGGATATATTTTTCTCTTTAATCTCAAAACTCTGTGAGGTTACTTTGGAAATGAAAATACCACATGCTAAGAAAAGTAATATTTCTCTAGTATGCTCCTTCAAAAAAAAAAAAGAAAAAGAAAACCAGTGTTTGCCTTGTATTTCACATGATTATCAACTACTTCCATTCAAAAGAGATGATTACTATAAACTCAGCAAATTCAAGTCACTTTGCAAACAAACCAACCACTTTTGTGGCTATGGCCTTCTGAGCTCCTCCCACTCATTAGAAAAGTGGGTTTATTCCACTGCACACTTCATGAACACACATCAATAACTCATCAAAAAACTTTAGTATTTCATGAGCACAGAGCAGATTTATGGCAAAGGATTCTTATGCTCCATTTCCATTCTTTAGTTCAAATAATAATTTGTTGATTTGTCCTTGTATTTGTGGAGCTTTCACTTACATCACTATGGCAAGGCTTGTATTTTACAGCTGATCCTGATAGGTTGCTAATCTTGTTTCCCTTTACAAGGCTATTCTTTGCTTTCTTTAAACTTGAATAGCAATGTTCTTTCACTCCCTTTGAGATTTTAGAGGCTTTTTTTTCTGGTGCATAAAATGTTTAAATGAGTATCTGTGAAGACTGTAATAAAAACAGATCATTTTTTGAGAACCTTTACATTTTTGAGTTCACCATTTAGGAACTAAGATTTCTTCTGACTGCTAATAAATAACCCTTTATTCTCTCCCCTTCCCATTTCTCCTTTGGCTTCCCTCCACTATATCACCAGATTTAGGAAGCAGGATGCCTACAGCTGTGGGCCTTTTAGCACGCTCTGGGGAGTCTGGAAATGAGTTGTCTGCAGGATTTCAGAGAGCCTTGATCTCTATTTTTTTCTTCTTTTTTTTATGTAGATCCATTTACTAATTTCTGTTTCAAATGCTCAGCTTCAGAACCAAGATAGACCTAAGTGTGGTATTTGTTTATTTTGGAAAACAGAAGTTTTGAAAAGCAAATGGGATGAATTTTAGATGAAAACTTAAAACATCTAAGGAAAGACTCAAAAAACCCCAAAACAACAAAACCAATTTCCATTGGATTGTTTATACTGTTGATCCTTGGTCACTCATGAGCTCCAGCTCCTTAGCACAGGTTTTTATTCTCTCACTGTGTGAGGCCATGGTCAAGTCCATTGGACCTCATACTGCACCCTCTCTCCTATCAGAGCAGATCCATTCCCTTTCCTGCCAGTAACATTCTGTTTCTGCAGGGAAAAACATCATTTTAAAAGTTCCAAGAGCAGATTTCAATGTTTAAGCTGATAAAATCAGAAAAGTGTAGGCTTTCAACCTCAGTATCCCCCAAAACACATCATGGCTATAGCACTTTGTGAGCTTTGTGAGCTGTATCCCAGAAAACAGCACAGAAACACCAAAGATGAAAATACAGAAATCCTGCAAGAAATTCCTTGTCACATGCAGCTCCCACTGGGAACTGAAGAGACCCAGTGTTTATTAGCACTGTCAGAGGAAAAGAGCTGTGTAACCAGTGCTTTCCAAAGCATCACCTCACAAAGAAAAAAAAATTAAACATTCCAGCACCTCTCTCCTTGTTTCTTCGTAGTGCTAATCCTAGAGAAAGAGGAACTCAGCAAACCCTTACCAAACCCTCCCATCATTACGTGCTTCCAGAAGCCTGCAGGATAACAATTCTCCTCCGAGTGCCGGGAAGAGCACGGATTTTCCTGTGCAGCAACGATGCCACCTACAGCCTGAGCGAGGCCACAACAACGCACCGAGCTGAAGAGGGCAAAGAGATTTTCTCAGACGTTTTCGCCCCAAATCTGCTCTTCAAAATTCAAGTCTGACGGAGGAGGCGGCTTCAATAGGATGTTTAGTAGGATATATTTTATGCTTTACCCACGGAGGTGCTGTATATCTTCTAGTTGTTCTCAGACTGCATGGTCTTTAAAACTCTTCAGCTCTGAACCCACTAAATAGCTAAACTAAACTTAAAAGATGTATCTATGGAAAACATATGGTAGAGGCAAGAAGCAGAAGAACGTTCCATTTCTGTTGTCACACACACAAAAGACACTACACAGAGTGTGTCTTACAAACTCCCAGAAGAAAGTTACTGGACCTTTTTATAAGCTGTCATCTCTACAATGAGGACAGGCATCTGCACCCGTTCTTTGTAGCAAGAAAAATCAACTCTCTCAATGCAGCCTTCTCTTCTCTTCTCTTTTCTCTCTTCTCCTCTTTTCTCTCTTCTCCTCTTTTCTCTCTTCTCCTCTTTTCTCTCTTCTCTCTTCTCCTCTTTTCTCTCTTCTCTCTTCTCCTCTTTTCTCTCTTCTCTCTTCTCCTCTTTTCTCTCTTCTCCTCTTTTCTCTCTTCTCTCTTCTCCTCTTTTCTCTCTTCTCTCTTCTCCTCTTTTCTCTCTTCTCTCTTCTCTCTTCTCTCTTCTCTCTTCTCTCTTCTC